CTCTTCCATGTCTTGAAGCACTCGGAACACTTAATAACAAATATATTTTCATCTTATCAGCAGGTTTAGTCAGCTAACTGGCCAAAAAATGATGAAAAAAAAAAAACGTTTTCCAGTGAGCGTTAGCGTCCTTTGTTAGCCTAGCGGACTTCTAAATATGGCGACCTACTCTGTGTTTAGCTTGTGCCGTCACTGAACAAAGTTCCCACCCCCTCAATATATATACCAAATGAAGGGTACGGTGATTGGCTACACAGCTGTGGCATCAGAACGAAGCTCGGAGCTGATTGGCCGATTCTACAGTCAATCAAACCCAGGATGACRGAAACCGGAAGATGGTCACTTCTCATAAATTGTTGGCTCTGGACAGCCGATGCTTGAACCCAGTTGGTCAAATGGGGTGTCAATCAAAAGAGGAGGGCCTAGACGTCCATTTTGATGCGTTGCACACGATTGAACAGAAACAACATTACAAAATAAAATGAAACAAAAACGGTACGTGGGCATTCCCCTGAATGTTAACAGGTTGTGCATCAGCTGATCAAACAGCTCAAAATAAAATATACTTTGTCTTTAAAAAAAAAAACCCAGAACCACAACCTCATCTGCTGAAGCTGAGATGGAGACCTGACCCTGACAGGAGGGCCAATGCAACGTCTCCGGTTAAAGAAGAGAAACACGTCAGAGCTGCAGCTAAAGCAGGTAACTCCAACAGGAAGCATCCGTTTGAGAATTTCACCACCTTTAACCTCTTTATTTTTTATTATTTTTGTTGTCAGATCAGACGAAAGCAACATTACTGGCAGAAAAGAAAAGCAAGTTTGTTCTGTTTTATTAAATAAAAACACTACATCATTGTGATCTGCAGTGGGAGCAGGTGGAAGAGAGTCTGGAGAGGTGGAGAAAGACAGAATCTGTGTGTGAAGGGATGTTAGAGATGCTGAAGAAGTCATTTTTGAGACCTTTCACCTTTCATCTGAAAAGATTGTGTAGATGTGATTAAAGGGTTTGTTGGGTTGAAATATACGGTGGYCCAGAAGGGTCAGCAAAATGCAAAAGCCACAACAGAAGTTCTACTAAAGCAGAAACCAGGTGGTGGCAGCTGTAATGCACCTCAGCATAGAAGAAAAAGGACAAAAGACTACGGTTAAAAAGAATAAGAAGGGTAGATAGAGGCTAAAAGAGCAAAAGACCAGCTAAAAGAAATATAATAAGGCTAGCTAGAAACTAAAAAGCATTAAAAGACCAGCTAAAAGAAGTTTAAGAAGGGTAGCTAGAAGCTAAAAGCATCAAAAGACCAGCTAAAAGAAGTTTAAGAAGGGTAACTAGAAGCTAAAAGCATCAAAAGACCAGCTAAAAGAAGTTTAAGAAGGGTTGCTTGAAGCTAAAAGTAGCAAAAGGCCAGYTAAAAGAAGTATAAATAAGGCTAGTCTGAAGCTAAAAGTAGCAAAAGGCCAAATGAATGAAGTATAAGAAGGCTAGCTAGAAGTTAAAAGTTGCAAAAGGCCAGCTATAAGAAGTTTAAGAAGGGTAGCTAGAAGTTAAAAGTAGCAAAATGCCAGCTAAAAGAAGTATAAGAAGGCTAGCTAGAAGCTAAAAGTAGCAAAAGGCCAGCTAAAAGAAGTAKAAGAAGGCTAGCTAGAAGCTAAAAGTAGCAAAAGGCCAGCTAAAAGAAGTATAAGAAGGGTTGCTAGAAGCTAAAAGCAGCAAAAGACCAGCTGAAAGAAGTATACGAAGGCTAGCTAGAAACTAAAAAGCATCAAAAGACCAGCTAAAAGAAGTTTAAGCAGGGTAGCTAGAAGCTAAAAGTAGCAAAAGGCCAGCTATAAGAAGTATAAGAAGGGTTGCTAGAAGCTAAAAGTAGCAAAAGACCAGCTGAAAGAAGTATACGAAGGCTAGCTAGAAGCTAAAAGTAGCAAAAGTCCAGCTGAAAGAAGTTTAAGAAAGGTAACTAGAAGTTAAAAGTAGCAAAAGATCAGCTAAAAGAAGTTTAAGCAGGGTAGCTAGAAGCTAAAAGTAGCAAAAGGCCAGCTATAAGAAGTATAAGAAGGGTTGCTAGAAGCTAAAAGCAGTAAAAGACCAGCTGAAAGAAGTATACGAAGGCTAGCTAGAAGCTAAAAGTAGCAAAAGGCCAGCTGAAAGAAGTTTAAGAAGGGTAGCTAGAAGCTAAAAGTAGCTAAAGGCCAGCTGAAAGAAATACAYGAAGGCTAGCTAGAAGCTAAAAGCAGCAAAAGACCAGCTGAAACAAGTATAAGGGTAGCTAGAAGCTAAAAGTAGCAAAAGGCCAGCTAAAAGAAGTAAAAGAAGGTAAAAGTGTTTCCTTGCAAAAGTTTATTTTCTATTAACTATATTGAATGAGACTTTTATTTTGAAATATCTGAAACAGGATGGGTTCCCGCAGATCCTTCAAAAGTCTTAAAAGGTATTGATTTCATCAATCCAAAAATAAGTCCTTAAAGCTGCAGTCTGTAACTTTTATAAAAATATGTTTTTGACATATTTGTTAAAACTGTCACTATCCCCCCATCAGAATCTACACACAGCAGCTTTAATTAGCCTTAAAATGTCTTAAATCGATCTTTCAGAGGTCTTAAAGTTAACAATTGATAACATTTCTTTAATTTTAAAATGATTTACTAAATGCCTCTCGCAGCTCGGTGGTTTTGAGTTAAAATAAACATTTGAGTAAAATTGTTGCTGTTTTTTCCCTGCATTTATTTTGACGTTGGTTATAAATTTCAAGTTTTAAAACGTGTTAAACTGAACTTGCTTTGAGCTGATTTTAGCTGTTGTTCTTCTACAACGTGGTGCATCACTGCTGCCACCAGTGGTGGGCACCAGACCGCTAGGGCGCAAATTCGCTAATTGCGGACCTAAAAATTTTGTTTGTGCTTTAGCGGTCTTACTAATTTTTATAATTCATAAGCAGATTTGCACTTCCTAAAATTAAAATGCAGTACYGCTAATAACTAATTATCAATTGAACATGTGCTTTAAAATTAGCTTCTGCTAGTTTTTCTATAGCATGAGCGCTTTTGAAGTTGCGGAGCTAAACTTTGGATCAGCGCTGCCCACCACTGGCTGCCACCAATTGGTTTCTGTTTTAATATAACTGTTTTAATATAACTTCTGATGAGGCTTTTGCATTTTGTTGAGCCTTCTGGGCCACCATACAAACACGACGCTACAGCATTTCTTGTGACAACCAGACAGGACAGGTGTGTTTGAACTTCAGTAACCCTGCTGATAAATGGAAATGTTCCAAACTGAGGCTGAGATGCTTTATTTTCATGTTGTTCTGTCTTTAACTCACAGGCAAAGCTGTAAAAGCTGCAAAGAAACCTGTTAAAGTCGCTGAAGGTACAGAGCAGGAATAGACTCAATTTTAACAGCGTGTGAAATTAATCAACTTCATTTTTTACTTCTTTTAATTTAGATGAAGAGAAACGAGCACCACCAGCAGCTGGTATGRAAACAGACATAATATCTTAAATTCTCTATCTTGGATCTGATTTTGTGTTTGTGGTGTTAGTTATGGCTTAATGAAGAATATAACAAAGACACAGCTGTGTTGTAGTTTTTTAATGCTTCGTATTATTTGCTTGTTATTAGCAAATGGAAAATGAGCTTCTTCTTGTTAAAGCCTGAGGTATTCAATCCACTTTTCAACTTCTTCCCACTGATTAACTCAATATGAGCAGAATGAATGTGAGGAGAAATAATTTAAAGAGTGGACCGGTCTGGAAGCCGGAGGGGGGCGGAGCTTGAAGTGTCTGAAAGGAACAGTAACAAAATCAGAAAAGTGGTGAAAGAGGGGCYGGTAAAGTTAAAATAATTCAATTCATTTCAATTCAAAAATACTTTATTGATCAGGTAACAGTTAAGTTACAGTTTTAAGAAAGAATTCAGACCAAAGCTTTGTAGTTCCACTGATTAAGATGACATTATTTGACGAGACTTTTTAAAGAAGAATTAATGGGATTAAAGTCATAACTGTTCATAATGAGTCATTCAGTGGATTATTAACACGCCCCGAGTGTCCCATCCTGACAGAGAACTCACTTCCTGCTTTTGAAAGAGTCTTTTATAAGATTTTTGTCACAAAAAAACCAAACTAAAAGCATAGTTTGGTGGATCTTTCCTCCTCTCTCTCCTCATGAGCATGTCGTCTGTGTCTCATCTCTACTTTTCACTCAGATAAAACTTCTTCACTTTGTTTGATCTGATTTCCTGCAGGAGAAACTGAGGCTGGAGACGACGTCACAGAAAAGAAGAAACAAAGTAAGAGCTGCTGACATCTTGGCTCATGCCAACACTGTGTTCTCATATAAATACATATTTTTTAAACTGTGGTTCGAGTTTCACGTTACGCCCCGATGCCTCCACAGGTCAGAAGTTCTTCCAGTGCATCTACTTCCCAGGCAAACATGCACAGTACCCGCTGCGACCTTTCACCCCGGCCTTGTCCCCCGCCATGCTGTCCCCCGCGGTCCGGTCCATGCTGGAGCAGCAGAGAGCAGCCAGAGCGTCGGGGCAGTAACGCCACTTTTTATATGACGGGTTCCCCCAAACCAGCAGGGGGCGACGTTTCTGCTGTGGCAGCCTACRCAGCGAAAAGGACTTTTTCTATTTTAATTTAACTTATTGATTGAGTGGTTGAGCTCCTGGTGTTGCTCCCACCTTCAGCGCTGRTAATCTAAAATATACTGACACCATYGAGAATTTTCAGATTAAAGGGGACRTATCATGCAAAATTCACTTTTTTAATCATTTAATATGTTTTGTTGTGAACTTGAAGTCTGTAGGAGGTAGAAAAGTTGAATTTAGTCAGTCCTGGTGCTGCAAAGATATCTTTATATCCTGTTTGGGTCAGATTTTTCAGCCCGTTCAGTTTTCTATGAAGTTTTCTGAACTATTACATCAAATAATCTGTGACGGAATTGCCCGATATGGTCTGGACTTACCAACTACAGTTTGGTTGTCTTCCTTCTTCTTTGCTTGTTGGTCAGACTCTGACATCTTTTAATTAAATTGTAAATAAAATGCTTATGCAAGCTAGAAAACATAACCCCCTCTCTCAAACCGGAGTGGACCGGTCTGGAAGCCGGAGGGTGGGCGGAGCTTGAAGCGTCTCAAAGGAACAGTAACAAAATCAGAAAAGTGGTGAAAGAGGGGCCAGTAAAGTTAAAATAATTCAATTCATTTCAATTCAAAAATACTTTATTTATCAGGCAACAGTTAAGTTACAGTTCTAAGAAAGAATTCAGACCAAAGCATTGTAGTTCCACTTTATAAAGACCCAACTGAATGATTTAAATGTGAAAAGGAAGGCTGTAAAAGCATGATATGTCTTCTTTAAAAATGTTAAATTTATGGATATAACAACTAAAATGAAGGATTAGGTATGAAATTGTTCCTGTTATTTCTTCTGTTGCTGTGAAACATTAACATGTTGGAGTAAATCCCAGGAGCTCCAACACCCATCCCTGCGGCATCCCTGTCTCTGAACATCTAGAAACTAAACCTTCAGACTCGAATGGTCGCTTCTCCTTCACATACTTGGATTTTTTTAAACTCAAGGTAGTGAAATGCAGAGGTCTATAAAGTACTTGAAAAAAACAACTAAGTAAAAATACCTAAACAGAAAATGACTTTGGAAAAAACATTTCACTGATGAGAAAAGTAAAAAATCAGAAAACAGTTTACAAAAGTCGGGAAAGTAAAATTAAGTACTTTTACACACTTTAAGAAATAAACTTGAATTTATTTAACCAAACTGATACCACTAAACCAAGATGAGTAAACTGAGCAATATACATATTTTCCTATATAGATAATATGTATATTGCTTCATATTTACTCTACTAGGTTTGGTGGAACAAGTTGACTTGTAAATTCAACACCTTTCATGATGAGTTCAGACAGATTTAATTTAGATATGAGTAACTGGGTAAATTTTAAAGTAAGTAAAAGTATAATTTTTAGGTTTTAAATGTAACAAAACAGAAGTAGAAGTTTATGGTTTTAAATTACAGGCTGTGATGAGTTTAAGATGTAACAAAAAGTTGGACAGAGCATTTTAGAAGTGTAATACTGTTAGTACAATAAATAAATCATGAAAAAACAAGAAAAAGAATCTGTTCAATTACAACCTGCACAGATAAAAGTCTGGATTGTATAAATACAGTTGCTACAGGTTTGAATATACTTTAGAAAATGTATACAAATGAATTACCTGCAGAAATATAAGGATTTTATAAATATGTCAGATGCAATAACTTAAATAAATCAATTGTTTTCATTTGATAACAATATAAAATACACATCAGGATGTTACTGTAGTGTAGCTGTGTATTTGAGTGTTTACTACAGTACTTTTATTTCACCATGGTGCCTTCAGGGACAGGGAGCCCTGCCGGAAAAMCTCCATGTGACCAACAGAACTGCTGCAGTAAATGAATGAATGCTTAGTCTGACGTGTGTTTTTACTTTCGTCCATCCCTCATGGTTCTGCGTCTGAGACTCGGCTGCAGCGTCGAGTCATTTCCTGTGACCTGACGGCTGCAGCGTCGAGTCATTTCCTGTGACCTGACGGCCGCTGAGCGTTCAGACCAGAACCTTCCTGTCGTCTTACTGAGTGGAAACTTGATGTTGGTGTAAAACGAACCAAACGAGGAGTTTATTAATAGTTCCACATGGGTGATAAATTATCATCTGATCTTATTTCCTCAAAGTGTTTCAAACTCAGTCAGTTTTACTTTTAAAGCAGAGCGGCGTTCTCCTGCTGCTGTGCTTTTATTAATGCTGACTTGAAACATTAATTCAGCTCTCAGCTCCTGATTAATGGCAGCAGAAAAAGACTCGACCACGTTTATTTATGTGCTTACTGAACCTCTTTGTATCCAGAACACTTCAGAGCTTAGAGCAAGGTAAAGTCAAAACTAAATGCTGATTTTTTTAGTTTGTAAAAACTGACTAAAAGTAGTTCCTCTCTGGGCTGTGACTGTTGAGGAAGTTTCCAGAAAGTCTTTGGATGCTTGAAAACGTTTCTCTCTTAAAATCACCACAGAGTCATGGTRGACATCTTCAAACTATACTGAGACTTACAGCTGAACTTTGACAACGTCCTGCAGGGGCGGAGCCAGAGGGGTGGCCATGGTGGCAAGTACCACCTCTGGCACCTGATTGGCCACCCCCTACAAAACAATGACAAGTGGGTGGGGATCTTGGATTTTATATTTGCATGTAGATTTTGTTAAAGATTGTTCTCTGATACTGCTGTACTCAATACATTTTCAGCTGTGTATCTTTAAAAATGGCTGATTTATAACCCTTTGTAAAATTAGCATTAGAGGTTAGCTTAATTTAGGATTAGCATCTGCAATCAACATGTTATCATTATTACTCCACAACACATTTAATCTTATTAAGTTTTAAAAGGAGTAAATTACAGCATTATATTGTTAGCTGTGGTGGCCATCTTGAATTTTTTAGCATTTAGAATTTGGAAAAGATTGTTTTCAGCTTCTTCTACACTAAAATTTGTTTGTCTAAAAATTGGTAAATAATATATATATATAT